TGAATTCCAATTTAAAGGATGAAATCCTCCAAGTATTTCGTCCGTACCCTTAACTCTGGCAATAGTAATTGTAGGTCCTTTCATATCACAAAAATCATGAAAAGTTTTTTTTTCAAACCCATCTCTGCTTCCACGGATAAGTAGTTCAAAATCATATGAAGCACTATAGTCATCTTTTTTCGCCATTATAATTAAATTACCAAGTAAGAAAGCTTGATTAGAATTAATTATCCTAGAATCAATAATCTTAGAATCAAATTTAATTTTTGAATGTACATTTTCATCAAAAGAATAATATTCAAGAATTTGAACATAAAAACCAAGATCAAAGGCATTCTTGAATGGTTTTACTTTCTGAACGAAATCTGCGGGACTAATTTCCTTAAACTTTATATATGGTATAAATGGTTGAATAATAGTTCCAAATATTGATACATTATTATGCGTCCAATTTGAAGTATCAAACGGTAATTCATCAGATTGCGCTATACTCCATTCTAATAATTTATCCCAAACTACAATGGGCTTTTCAGAATGATTGTTTTTAACGAGTAGGTTAAGGAGAATTTCTTGTTTGATAGTTACGAAATCATCTGCTTTAAAGATTAATGAGGGATCTTGTTGAATAGCAATCTTATAGAATTGGACCAATTTGCTAAATTGAGTAAATTTAGTTGTAACATCTTGAATGAGAACAAAATTCTGTTTTAATAATGATTCGTCATCAAGAAGATAATCTTCAATGAAAGTACATAGGTAGTTAAGACACAATTCATCAGCCGCAATTAAAATCGCAATATTTGTTTTAATATCGTTGTTGGAGAGGTCAATCTTGCTACTGTAAATGTACCTATAAATTACTTAGGTGAATTTCTATAATGTGATTAAAATATTAAACTCGAAAAAGTAAGCTACCTTAAAATAATTTCAAAAATTTTAACAGAAATATTCGGTTTTTGAAATTTAATAACATTATTTTCTTTTATTTGCCAACCGTTTGATAAAGCGGTACGGAAATAAGCCGAACGTATTTTTAAAATTAAGGAATGTGCTTTGAAGACTTTAGCACTAGGTTTTTCTCCAACTAAAAGTTCGATATCAGAAAATTCACCGGATTCAAGTATTATATTATATTCTTTAGAAGATAAATTCAATAATTCCATAGACATTTTTTTAAGAGAATTGGAAAATCCCCAAAATTTTTTTTGTTTGGGGATTTATTTTAATACTACACAGTATGTGCAACAATACTAATTTTTTTATGGTAAATTTTCGGTGAAAAGAAAAGTAATTCCGGGTCACACCAATGAAAAATCATGTGATTCTGGTACTTTATTAGATTCCATCTTGGCCGGCATTACGACATTAAGTTTCACTGACACATTCATGACGCATTAAACATTGTTACGAATTTTTTTATCTAATAATCAAATTGGCTTGATATCGACTATTTTCAGTTCTTATAAAGTAATCAGAAGATTTATAATATTAATTCAATTTATTAAAAACAGCGACGTATTTTTTATTGTTTGTTATTGTTACGGAAAAATCTAAACTATTTTCATTCTTTATTAAATTTTCCCTTTTCTTTCAAGCGAAATCCCAGAATTTTCATATCTAAATTCAACAAGGAATTATTGTCTAATTGAAACATTCGCCAGAGTACACATAAGTCAAAAGACATAATGAAATGACCAGTGGAACGTTAACCGAACTTGGGCAGTGTTTCCACTCAAATAAAATTGATCGTCACTAAGCTTGTAATATTAAAGTCTCCAAAAACAGGTCCAGACGTAAACGCCATTGTTGTTAAAATTTCAGACGTTTCGCATCAACAATTCAAATGCTTCAAAATTTACTTTCGTAGTGAGAGAGGATATTTTAAATTAAAGATTTTGATTTAAAACTTTTGTGACTTCAACTAAAATAAATCACCGGATTTTAAGCATATCACGAGGAGTTCTTTAAAAGTCGAGAAAAAAAAATGCCTTTGAGATTTTTTATTAATAAAAGGTAATATAGGAGACTTATGGAAAATCACGTTCTGAGAAATTTTTGACTAAAATTAAGAACTAAATGCATTTTAATCAAATAACATGCAATAAACATCTCAATTTGTTAAAAAATTCACAGAACCTGATTTTCCTAGCAATCATCTCATATATCGATCAATAGATTCGTTGTTAAGGCGCACTTTTGAATAATAATAAAAATATTCTCATGTGAATTCGACAGAACTTGTAAAGTTAAATAAAGATGCAATATAAAGGGTTTACAAACAATATTTTCAGTAACACTTTACATACATTGACTTTTTAGCAGATATTATAACTTTTGTTTATTACAAAATCTTTATTTAAATTTATCAAAACGGAAGATTTCACGAAATCCGTAATGCATTTAATGGAGAACAGTGAAAGCAGATAATTGAAGGCAAAAAAAAAACAATGATTTTAAATATTTGGATTATAGTATTAAAAACCTGTCCAAAATTGACCAAAATCACATTAAGCTTCAGAAATTATTTTAGTATATTATTACTTAGACCTACGTATTTAATGATTTATACGTGAAGTAGTATGAGGCGTAATACTTTGGTATTTTAATTTATTTACTGCAAGTTTGCAAAATTAATTAATTTGGTCGAACACTCGAAGCTGTAACATTTACGAATTTGCATTACGATTTAAACTAAATATTACAAAGTATCAAAATGTAATGTTTTTAAATATACAAAACTGTAAGATATTTTACACCAAAAATTTTTCCTGATGTAAGTCAACAGTACACAACATACATTTTAAAGTTATGGTTACGCCATCAGTGTTGCACTTATTGAAAACTAAACACAAATTTTGGTACAACAGATTTTGTGACTATCAAAAATTACGCCAAATATTATTTAGTTAGTATCACTCCTTTTCCTTTTTAACGATAACGTTCAAAATGGATATATCCTTAGATGAACAATTTGACATTAAGAATGTGGATTGGACTTTGAGTAAATGCAAAAAATTTTTAAGGTTCGTCCAAGAAAAACCGACTGAAACTCGTATCAAGAAAGAGCCAGGCGATGGAAGCCATTTATTTCTACCGATGTATCTTGGCAAGGGCCGCGAATTTTATAAATGGGATTCAAAGAACCTTCACGACATATTTGTAGCAATTTTCCGATTTTTACAAAAATATTATTACGATTTAAGCAGGTTGAACCTTAAAGCCCTTCACAGTGAACAAATTAGCAAATGGAAAGTTGAATTTCCAAAGTATCTAGAAGACAAACATGCTAGCAAAGAGGCAAAATTACAAGATAAATTCATCAAGGAAATTAATGATAAGTGGCTTCCAGGATTCGGGTATCTTTACGATTTTGAATATAGAATTGGGGACCACAAAGGAGATTTGATTTTTGCAGATGATAATGGATTTCTTGTAGCTGTAGAAACGAAAAGAGGGGGATATAATCCGGTGCTTATCATACAGAATATCAATAAAGCCAAGGAGCAAGCAATTAAATATCGAAATCTCCTCATGGAAAGAACCAGAAATGATTCGAATATCATTACAGTTCTCGGTGTCTATTTTATCGATCTGGGTAAGAAAATGAAATGGTTTCCCTTGGACATTGACCATAAAATATGGGAGGCGATCAAAAAGGTTCACGAATTCAACAAAAAGTCTCTGACTTCTGATAATAATTCTATTGCTCAAACAAGTAACTATTTCGATTCATATTATCTAACAAAATTGTTTGAAATAAATTTTTTATAAATTCATAATTTTGCATTTCAGTTGGAAGAGAAACGTTCATTAGATCATCCCAAGAAGCTGATTCTGATGAAGATATTACGGATAGACTTGAAAACACTCATTTATAATGAGAAAGCTTTATTTATTTTTATTTATTTCTGATCTAATCCAAAATCGAGTTAAATACATGATGGAAGGTGTCCGTTGTACGTTGTACTTTTGGTAAAGATATTTTATATTAAGCGATTTCATACTATTTTAATTGTCTTTTTTAAAAAAAGCATTTTCCAGATTATTAAGAGTCGCTTTTAATAAAGTTCAAAAATAATAAAATAGTAAAATATAAATTAATAATTTAAACTTTCCACAGGAATAAATTTTCTTCAGGGATAAAAAAAAAGATGTGTTATATATTTGTTAAAATTATCAAATGAGAATTTGAATGATTATAAATGAAAGAATTTATCGTTGCATTTACGCTTGGTAACTTGTCGATTTGGTTGAGATTATGCTATGCAATTAGTTTTCGTTTCATTATTCTTATAAAGAATTGGATTAATTCAGCTACAACATTAGAGTTGAAATTTGAAAAGATCTAGAAAATGACATTAATTGTGGAAACAGCAATACTTTTCAATAAATAATAAAAAAATTTGATAATAAATATTTCACCATTTTGATAAATTTATTAAAAAAAATTTCTATATTATTATATTATTATTTACTTACAACAAATGGCAACAAATTATATATAAAACTTTTTCAAACATTCATCATTTCTTAAATAACTTCGTTCGCTTAAAAATTAAGTTTGAAAAAGAGATTCGTCGATGGGTCTTGACAACAAGGAGCTCAAAAAAATATCCAATGCAAAATATTCAGCCGCCACAATTTAGAGCAATCGTTATGTCAAAATTTTTTTGAATAAGTAAAAATTGCTACACCTATGTTTATTAATATATTAAATAAATAATTTAATATAAAAAAATTAACGTACTGTAATATACTGTTAGCTGAAAGCTTATATTATTTTACGTTTATTTTGCGTTGTTTGTATCAAAAAATTCATTTTTTTTTTTTGATTCAGTTGTTTTATGAAGTTTAGATACTGTATTTCCAACGATTTTATACTTTCAATTTATAATGACGAAAACATAATTTTTTTCCTCTCTAAACTTAAAACTGGTTAAATCGAATGGATGCATAGGTAAGTTATTTTTTTTCATTGAATTATTTATTTCTTATTTTATTTTATTTTTTTTTTTTTTTTTCATAGCTATATATTCTTTATTTATTTTTATTTTGATATCATCATTTATTCAATTATATGTGATTACGCATCAGGCATACCTAGTTTTACTATAAATCAAGGCTATATCTGAATTGCAATAAATTCTTCAGTATAAATTATATTTTATACCATGCATAGTTTTGATTTAATTAGTTGAAATCACTCTCCTGCTGTTCATGTTTTACTAATACCGAAAATAATAGATGTTTATTTTAAATCAAATAAAATTTTATCATTTATGACCAAACCAATATATAATAAATAAATTATTTATATTACAAAACATATAAATGTCGTTTGATAAAGTTTTATTTATTATATTGTTCAAGATTCGAAAACAGCATTTTTTTTTTGGAAATTTGAAAGTTAAGTAGTTAATTTTAATATTGTAACGTTATATATATCTAATATCCAAAAAAGATATTTTCTGCGGCTTTACCTAAAATGTTAAAGATGCGGAAATTGTCCGTGGCGTAATACAAAATCTAGAGATATGTCGTGTATGTTCAAGAGAGTCGACTAATAGGATTTCTAAAATATTTTTCCTAGTATAATATTGACAGACTATTTGTTTGAAAACTCAATTTTTTTTTTTTGTTTTTCAATATCTCATTTGTCTGCCTTTTCCTTAAAAATAATTTTAATGAGATGATAAATGTTGGAATTTTCAGAACTAGAATACCAGAAATATAAAAGCTGGAATTTCAATAGTTAGAATAAATCATTTCATTTAATTTTATTATTTTTGTGATTAAAAGAAAAAGAAAAGAAAAATTTTTTTTCCGAGTCGCTTTCCCTTCAGATTATAATGCTAATTTAAATCTTTTTTTTTATAAATTTACTTGATTTTTTTTTTTTTTTAAAAAAAATCATTCTTTTATTAATAATTACGTATCTCTTTGGCTTGGATCATGTTGAAATATTCGTCATATTTTTTTTTCTAGTTTAATTTGTAATTTTTTTGATTTTTCTTTTTTACTTTCGGGTTTTTTTTACTTTCGAGATGGATCACTACGTAATGAATAAGTAAGGTTACTTTATTTTATGTTTTGTTTTTTTCCTTTTTTTTTTTTTGTTCCTTTAATATGGCTATTTTATGATAAAAATTACTTACTGCGCCACTAAACATTCGATTCCAATCATCAATGTTATACTTCTTGATTGATTAGGTTTTTAAATGGACACGTGTTAGTATTAAATTGAACTAACCTAAATAATATAAAATCCTTTTCTCAATCACGTCCTAAGTTAAAGATTTAATACATTGTCAATATCACAAATTCTAGGTATTTGTTCAACTTAAACTTAACTGTTTCGTATTTATTATTTCAACCGAAACAAAAAAAAAAAATTTAGTCGTGAAGTATTAACTAGATCATGTGATCTTCATGCAAATAATGATGTACAGTACAGTGTCGATCATCTATTTGTAAATAAATACGGAGTAATTAATCCCGTAATCCCGATAAACTTTCTTATTATTTTCCATTTCATTGCATTATGGTCTCCATGCGTTTGGAATTAGTTAATGATACATTGAAAAGAGCAGATGCATTAACTGATTATTACACTGACCTAGAAGAACAGCTTGAATTTAAACAACAAACAATTTACGCTGATGAAAATCTCACAAACGAGGAAAAATCAGAGGCAATACAACGCTTAATTAATGGTTATAACTATTGCAAAATTTCTTATAATCAAGGTATTAAAAGAGTTTGTGAAAATTGCAAACAAGAATGTTTAGCAATATCATATTGTGAACATTGTATTCGAAGTTATTTAAAAGCAAAATTTTCAGAATGGACATCTGGAAATAAAGAAATTGATAATTTAATAAAGAAATGTCAAATCGAAGCAATTCAACCTCATAGAATAGTTGAGTGGATACCATATAATAATTTACAAAATATTGAGTATCTAACTAAAGGTGGATGCTCTGAAATTTATACAGCAGATTGGATTAATGGAAGTTATTACGAATGGGATTCTATCGGAAAACAATTAATAAGATTTGGAGGTGAAAAACTGATACTCAAAAGATTAGAAAATGTCGAAAGTGCTAATAGAAATTGGTTTGAAGAGGTGTGTAATTAAAAGTATTGATAATGACTTTTTTTATAAATAAAAAAAAAAAAGAAAAAAAGAAAGAAACTAATCAATTGAACTTTCATTTTTAGGCTGAATCTCAATTAATTTTAAGCAGCAGATCGGGATGCTTTGCTAATTCTTGTGGTCTTACTCAAGATCCACAAAATAAAGATTATTTTCTAGTAATGTATTTAATGGATATAGATTTAAGAAAATATTTACAACAATATCATAAGCAGCTTACATGGAAACAGAGAACAAACATACTTTTTGACATAATCTATGCGATTTATTATCTTCAACAAGAAAATTCTATTCATAGAGATTTGCATTCAGGAAATATACTATATTATAAACATAATGATAGATGGCATATTAGTGATTTTGGATTTTGCGGTCCTGCTGATAAACCATTAGGAAGCGTATATGGAAATCTTCCTTATATAGCACCTGAAGTTATTAATGGAAATGGATATACATTTGCATCAGATATTTATAGTATTGGTATGCTTATGTGGGAGATTTCTTCTGGACAACCGCCTTTTGCTTATTTTAATCATGATTATGAACTTGTGACAAAAATAATGAATGGGATGAGGCCGAAGATAATACCGGGAACTCCATCAGAATATAAAAATTTAATGATGCAATGTTGGGATGCAGATCCATTAAAAAGACCCGACATTGAAACCCTTTTTGACAAAATTCGTGAAATACGTAAACCATATTATCAAAATGAAAATGAAAAATGCAGCATTATTATTTTGAATAGTACACAATTAAATGTACAAACTAATATAATCTCCAACTCTATTAATTCATTAGTCGGAAAATTTAGTAAACTTTATAATTTTAAGGATTTACCTGAACCGAAAAATGCCATTGAAGGTAAGCTATTCATAATTAAATTAATTATTGTTAATCTATAGAAGAACAAGAAGGTTACTATTTAATAATTTTTAAAAATATTTTTCTTTTATAAAAAAAAAAAAATAGCTTATGATAGCAAGCAAAATGATCTTAATATTCCAGATAGTAAGTAATTCTAGTTTATTTGTAATAAATAAGAAATTTATTAATTCATTTGATTATATTAAGAAATAATCAAAGATTATATCGAACAGGATGTTTCTACAACTATTATTGGTAAGAATATTTTATTTTGGAATTCAGCCTATATCGATATGATTTAATATATGTAATTAATATTATCAGGTATGAATATTGGCAAACCTAAGAGGAATTCTTCACATCATACTTATGGTAATGAGTCATTTTGTTATTGTTATTATTATACTTTGAATATACTTGTAATATAATATTGTTATTTAATTAGAAAATCAAGAAGATTTAAACATTACTTCAAAAAAAATAAAACTTAGTAATGACAAAGGTAAAGGTGATTATTTTTATACTTTTGTTTAATTCTTAATATCCCATAACAATAAACATTTTATTTTAGGAATTAATTATGCAAATGATGAAAATTATTATATGCGAAGTTATATGGCGAGTGATGGTAAGAAATTGATAAATATAATTAATTTATTATCATACTTAAAATTTAATTATTTTTCTCAATTAGATGATGAAGAAATATATAATAATTCGAATCTTCATTCAGCAAATCAAGATGATTTAGAGATTTCTGAAGGTAAAATTAAAATTAAATAATATTATTAATTAATTTTAAATTATAATTATAAATATAAGTTTAAAGCAGAGTAATTTATTAAATAATGCTGATATTACTTAGAATTACTCAAAGACTAGAAGTTGATTCAGTAATTACAATTGTTTGCATTTTTATTATAATGAATTAACTCCAGCGCTTTTAATTTATTAATGAAATAATAATATCGTTTCCATAAATAGATGTCTATTCAAGTATCTACGCACACAAATAAATAAAAATATAATGAAATAAAATAATATCTAAAAAAAAC